CCATCTCTAATATTTATCTTATATAGATACATTTCGTATTCATTGACCGAGCAGCCACTGCTACTCGAGTTATGTTTTTTTATCACTCTCTGGTCATCGGACTTGGATCAAAGTGTAGTATCTGTTCTCTGATCACTCAGTCACGTGCCAAACGTGATACAAGCTTTCGATTCATGACTGACTAGGCAGAAGATTTTCCTGCTATCTAATCCGTCTCTAATACTTATCTTATGTAAATACATTTCGTATTCATTGACCAAGCAGCCATTGCTACTCGAGTTATGTTTTTTTATCACTCTCTGGTCATCGGACTTGGATCAGCGTGTAGTATCTCTTCTCTAATCACTCAGTCAAGTGCCAAACGTGATACACGCTTTCGATTCATGACTGACTAGGCAGAATATTTTCCTGCTATCCAATCCATCTCTAATACTTATCTTATCTAGATACATTTCGTATTCATTGACCAAGCAGCCATTGCTACTCGAGTTATGTTTTTTTATCACTCTCTGGTCATCGGACTTGGATCAGCGTGTAGTATCTCTTCTCTAATCATTCAGTCAAGTGCCAAACGTGATACACGCTTTCGATTCATGACTGACTAGGCAGAAGATTTTCGTGCTATCCAATCCGTCTCTAATACTTATCTTATATAGATACATTTCGCATTCATTGACCGAGCAGCCATTGCTACTCGAGTTCTGTTTTTTTTATATATTCCCTGGTTGTCGGACTTGGATCAAAGTGTAGTATCTGTTCTCTAATCAGTCAGTCAAGTGCCAAACGTGATACACGCTTACGATTCATGACTGACTAGGCAGAAGATTTTCCTGCTATCCAATCCATCTCTAATACTATTTTATGCACATACATTTCGTATTCATTGACCATTTGAGAGTTATGTTTTTCACTGCTTGACCTATCGGAATGTAATCAAAGTGCAGTATCCGTTCTCTAATCAGTCAGTTAAGTGCCATACGTGATACACTCTTGGGCGATTAAGTCTTTTTCGATTCTTGGCTGACTAGGTACAACATTATCGCGTAGTCGGTTGCAGTTTCTTTCAGCAGTAGACTGATTCTCAACCAAGTCGTTATGGACAAGTATGTCCTTCTATTTAATCCATAGATAGGGGAATAACAGATGTATTCATACTTTTCCCAATGTTATTTGGGTGTATGTGAATATAATGAACCCGACTGGTTATCGAACTCATCTCTCCGATTAACAATTCTGTGCCGCTTTCCATTACTCACCGCGTACTCTTCATTTCAAATTACAAACGATATCGTGATTTTCTAAGCGTAATAATTGTGGTTCAACGCCGAAATCACGGCCTCACAATGAGGATCAAATTTACCTTTCAGTAGTAATTGATCTAGCGAGACCAGCTTGCTACCTATTAAGCCACATCGAGCTAACTGCAAGATTTTCTAAGCGTTGTTTAGATGTGGTATAAGACCGAAAGTCAAGGACACCTAGTGAGGATCGAACTCACTATTCAATTGTGAATGATCTGGCGAGACAAGCTTGCTAACCCTTACACCACAACCAAGAGCCCAAAAGATGACTTTCTAAGGGTAACTTAGATGCCGACACAAGGCCGAAATTATGGGGCACCCAGTGAGGATCGAATTCACTATTAAGTCTTGAATGATCTGGCGGGAGAAGCTTGCTTACTCTTACACTACAACCAAGAGCCCAGAAGGTAATTTTCTAAGCTTAGATGTGACATTCGTTATTCACTGACCAACAACCAGTGTCTACGTCTGTTGAAATTTATAAAATGATTGTCTTAAAATAATTCTTAATGAAAATTGGTTTCTCAATTCCAGTAGAATTAAAGCTCTTTCCAGCACTGATGTGGCTTTCCTTCCTTGCATATTCTTTAACGTCAGCATCTTCATTATGCCATTGTTTTCTCTTTCATTAACATGTGCTATCCATTTTATTTGTTGCTGCTGCTGAAAGTCCTCAAGTAATGAAAGCAAACGATATTTAGTAACTCAAAATTTTACACAGTTTTTTCTTTTCTTTACAATAGATAATTGTTTGTTCAGATTTTAATAAAATATTCCAAATTAACATGGGTTTGTTTTTAGAACGTTCCAGATTAATTTTATGATTAATTTTAGGAATGATTAAAAGAATTGTGTCATTCTTTTTCCGTTAACCTTCATTGAAACATCGACAAAATGGGGAAAAGCAAAATAATTGATCAAGACCTCCGTAAATGTATTGTTGACTTTCATATAAATGGATTTGGTTATAGGAAGATATCTCGTCAGTTAAATGCGCCATTGAGTTCAATTGGTACAATAGTTTGTCACTGTCATTTCATTCGTCCCCCCAAAAAATCTGGTCGTCCTAGAAAGGTAACGGGACGTACGGTAAGATTATTGACGAGAAAAGTTGGCAACGAGCCCCAAGTTACGCTTAAAGAACTTCACAGCGAGGGCGAGAAGTAAGTGGAGTATGGATACAATTTGAGGACTCCAATAAAAAAGAAAAACCCTTCTTAAGTGTTGAAACTTGACTAATGCACGGAATAATAATACAACACAAAATGTACTTAGAACAAAATGTATTGAAACAAGAAAGGTACACAAAATTTACATAGAGTCTTTTGTATATTCTTGGGAAGACCGTTCCTGGAGAATGTGTTGACTTAGTCGCAGTCGGGCAGAGTATCTGGATTGAATCTCTTGATTCCTTCCCTCGTCTTCCCGGTACCAACCCTATTTATATGGTCGGTACTCCACTATGCAAAAGTAGGTGGATCCTACCACAACATTAAGCGAAAACACGTTCTTGCTAGATTGGATTTTGCAAGTGCGCATTGTATCAAATCTGCAGCATTTTGGGAAAATGTACTTTCGTCATACGAAATGAAAATTGAACATTTTGGCGGAAATGCTGTGGCAATTATCTGGAGAAAGAAGGGTACTGAATATTCGCCGAAAAATACTATCCCAACAGCAAAATTTGGAGGCGGATCAATCATGAACTGGAGTTGCTATAGTGCCCAAGGTGTAGGGAACATTGAAATAATAGAAGGGGGATGAATGGATCATATTATAGGGATATTCTGGAGAGAACTCTACGTCAGAGTACACAATCGCTGGGCTTGAAACCAGGTGTCTTTCAACAAGACAACGATCCTAAACATACAGCAAAGCTTACAAAATCATGGTTAAGCTAAAATGGCCAAGTCAATCTCTAGATCTCAATCCGATTGAAAATTTATGGAGACAACTGAAACTGAGAATTCAAAGAAAGAACCCAAAAAAACCTGCATGAACTAAAGGATTCTTGTCGTGAAGAATGGAAAATAATAGCCAAGAAATATGTAAGAAACTTGTAGGTGACTACTCTAAACGCCTACACGCTGTAATTAGCAATAATAGTTACGCTACGAAATATTAATCGATGATTTAATAAATGTATTGTAAACTTTTGTGTTATTAAATATTGTTTTTCTTCGTAGGATATTTTTATTGATTATTTTTTTTTAAATCTGGCTGTTTGACTAAAGGTTTAAACATATGTATTATTAGCAGTAAAAGTTTCATTAATTTATGTTAGAAATACCTAAAGAAACATTTTTGTAATGTGTTTCAAACTCTCGCCTGCCACTCTATTTAACTAGAATATACTTATCTGACCACTTATTTAAGTAATTACTAGTTTAACCGTTTCTTAACTTAGTTATTTCAATTAGTAGAAATTCTTCAAACTTAGCTGTACCTCATGGCAAACTCAGATTTCCCCAGTGAATATTTAAGGTTTATGAAAGGCGATGATTTCTTAGCAAAAGATAAAATAAAAGCGTCTTTTTCTCAATCGCTGCCTTATTTCCCGCTCTTTGATTCTATTATGTTTGTTGCATTTTATGGAAATCCAATATGATTCTGTGGAAAGAGTAGGCTAGGCGTGTCGTAGCAATTTTCTTCTATCTCATAATGGAAATGCGTTATATAATATAGCGTCATCCATTTTTCATTTGCCGCGTTTGCTTTCCGCCATCTTTAATTTTGTTACTCTTTCTGTCTGATAATTATTGAGAGCTTTTTTTATTTGGGATTTGTTTGCAAGAAGAGGGCATATTTTCATCAAGGACAAAGAAAGGAATATAAAGAATCTGAAGCGTAATAGAAAAAAGGAAAAGAAAAGAATGAAAAAGAAATCGAAATATAAGAAAGATTAATAAAGACACAAAAAAGAAAAAAATGTAGACTTACTACCAATAAAAAGAAAAAAAATTGAATGAATGAATTGAGGCCTCGAATCATTGAAGAATTTATAAATCTTAGAGGCATTTGAAAAACGAACAATTGAGAATGTAAAGAAAAAGAGGAGAAAAAGAATGGAATAAAAATACAAGGAACTAAAGTTGATTAACCAAAAATAGAAAAAAGAAATAAAATGAACGAAAAAGAAAGGAAAAGAAAGAACAAGAAAATAGAAGGAATGGAAAAGAAAGGTAGAAAAAGAAATAAAAACAAAAGAAAAACAAAAAAAGAAAGAAATGACAAACGGTTAATTGGAGGGAAAAACTAAAGAGAAAAATAAAGAAAAACAAAGGAAAAGGGGAAAATAAAAATGTCAGAGAAAAGATGAAAATAGCAGAGAGAAAGAACGAAAGAGATAAAAAAAGAAAGAAAGAAAGAGCTAAATATAAAAAAAGAGGAAAGAGATAAAGATAAAAAGAGTAGAAAGAAAGAAAAATATAAATGGGAAAGAATGTAAGAAAGAAAGTAACAAAGAAAGAAATAGTGAAAGATAAAATTCATAAGAAAGAAAGAAAGACACAAAGGAAGAGAGAGAGAGAGAGAAATATAAAATAGAAGAAAGAAAGAAAAAGATAAAAATAGTAAAAAGAAAGAAAGAAAGAAAGAAAGAAAAGAGAGAGATAAAAACAGTAATAAGAAAGTATATAAGAAAGTAAGAAAGAAAAAAGAAAGAGATAAAAATAGTAGAAAAAGAAAGAAAAACAGTACTAAGAATGAAAGAATGAAAGAAATAGAGAAAGATAAAAAGAGTAGAAAGAAAAAAGAAAGATAAAAATAGTATTAAGAAAGAAAGAAATAGAGATAGATAAAATATTAGCAAGAAAGAAAGAAAAATAAAGAAAGAAAGAAAGAAAGAAAGAAAGAAAAAGAAAGAAAGAAAGAAAGAAGAAAGAAAGAAAGATAAAAGATACCAATGAGTAAAACAGTTCAATGAGGGAATAAATAATCAACGCAAAAGGATTTTCTTGGAAAATCTAAAAAGAAAGAATGGAAAACGAGAATGAAAATATGATCAACACAAAAAGTGTCTTTGAGATGCAATGACATTCACAGTAAATTATTTCATAACACATTACCCCCAATATAAGAAAATCTGTTTTGCCTTGCCGAGTTACTTCCCTTTGATCTTAGTTCTATATATATTTTTTTCCAATCAAGACAAGAGTGTAGTCTTTATTGGGACCAAAGAATTCACATCACTGAACACCACTATTTCCAACTCACTCGCATGTCTATCATTTAAAAAAGAAATTGCTCGTTTTATCCACATCTTTTTTTTTGGGGGGGGTTCTCATATTCTGACCACTGCATAAAAGAAAATCCGCCATATTCAGGGTGCTTGGATGACGTTATTACACAAGGACAGATGGCATGAGATTTCATCAAAACCCGTTACGTCTTTGGATGGTCATAGTTGAATGCTTTGCCTTACACGACGCTACCAATGAAATGAATGATGATTGTGTCGCTAATGGGAAATATCGCGTTTATGTTCAAGTTTGACACAAATATAATTAATTCACCGTGTTTATTCCTAACTTTGCTGAGCATGTTGCGCTCAAATTAAGCAGCTTTGTCAGTAAAATATCCAACATTATTAATTTCGAACGACATATTGCAGCATTTACTGTAATACAAGAAAAGTTATTTTTTATTTTTTGGATTTCGGTTATATACACATTTCCTTTCGGGTCCCAACCAGAGACCTAAGGGCAGAAATAGCTTCATGACATTTTTCACTGATCATTTTCGTAAAAATGAAAATCGTGCACAGACTTTATCAATGCTAATTAATAAACCCAAGTGAAAATTCCAGAATGCATCACTGAAGGTATTAGATATCTCTTACCACAAACGGGTGACACAGACATTTCAAATATTATAGGCCAATAATATATCCGTCCACCACATATAAATTGATCATGATTGAAATGTACAAAGTTGCCTTGGTGATATTAAATTTCTTTTAATAATGTGCCACATTCTTCAATCCTTAAGGCTTTGGAAATGTACAAAGTTGCCTTGGTGATATTAAATTTCCTTAAATATAGCATAAAACTGTAGAAAACCACATGATTTTTTAAATCACGTCAATGGTACTACCACGTCTAATTGTTTAAATATCCGACGGGGAATCTTTCAAGGAGTCTCCCTGTCACCCCTACTGTTTTGTCTGTCGTTAATCTAACTTTCGCCTGAACGAAACAATAATAACTATAGATACAAAGTAGTTTATTATTATTATTATTATTATTATCATTCGATTTCTGCTATGGACACACTACCTACCAAGTCTGCGGAAAGACCTAAGGCAGGTCGTGGTGTGTTGTTATGGCCATTTCATGTTAATTTTTTTTTTTTTTTTTTTTTTTTTTTTGTTATTATTATTATTATTATTATTATTATTATTATTTATTGTTGTTATTATTGTTGTTGTTGTTGTTGTTTTTGTTGTTGCTTTTGCTGTTGTTTTTGTTGTTTGTTTGCAGTGTAGATGGAATGTCATCATGCAATTCCCGCCAAAGAAACCTATACAAAGATCTCTGTTTCAGGCACTTGTGAAAAAAAAAACTATATACCGCCTTTTTGGAAGGCATTTTTCATTGTACCAATACTTCTTCGGATTTCGGTGTCGTATTTCCCCTCCCCTTGCTCTCATATTCCGTTCATGTTATTCACAGCATCCTTCTGTAGAATCAGATGAATCAAATTTATGTTGCCTCAAGTCTTTTCTTCATCAATGAAAATCTCATCCAGCATTTACTGCCATATAGAAGGACCAGTATTACGTATATGGTTTCAATAGATATAATGTCGATGATTGGTTTATTATTATTATTATTATTATTATTATTATTATTATTATTTGCTTTGATTTATGTTGTATATTCATTTTCTTCCGGGTCCCAACCAGAAACCTAAGGTCAGAAATGGCTTCCTGACATTTTCTACTGATCATTTTTGTAATTTTTTTTTTTTAAATCACACATTTTACATAGATAAAGATCTTCGTAATGTGTGAGCTGTAGTTGAGGGTACTGTATCTGTATTTCTTCAAGACATGTGCTACCAGGAATCTCTTCAATGAATCTATCGAACTCTTTTGTAATCAATCCGAGGGCCCCAACTACAACTGGAATTATTGATCTCCTCATATGTAACATTTTTGAGATTTCCAATTCAAGATCCTTGTATTTTGATAGTTTTTTGAAGATCTTCAAAGATGCATTACAATCTGCAGGAACCGCCATGTTAATAAAAAAAAACACATTCTGTTTTTGTTGTCTTTGATCACGATAGCTTTGATTATTCTGTCTGTGTGTCTTGTAAAGTCCCATAAAATTGTTACAGGTCCTATCTCTGTAATCGGATTTGGGTGATGTTCATACCAGTTTCTTGCAGTTTCCTTCCCGTGAAAGTATTATTATTATTATTATTATTCCCTTGATTTCTGGTGTGTACATATTTCTTTCCGGGTCCCACCCAGACACCTAAGGTTAGAAATGGCATGATGACATTTTCCACTGACCAACTAAAAAAAAAACAACACAAAAACACATAATTTACATAGATAAAGCCCTTCGTAAGATGTGGGCTGTACTCGTGAGAACATTCTTTGTATTTCTTTAAGGCATGGGTTTCCAGGAATCACTTCTATAAGTCTACTGGAATCTTTTCCAACCAATCCGAGGGCTCCAACTACAACGGGGATTGTTGATGTTCCCATGTGCCACATTTTTGAGATTTCGATTTCAAGGTTCTTGTATTTTGATAGCGTTTTGAAGATCTTCAAAGATACATTGCAATCTGCAGGGACTGCCATATTAATAAAGGAGGAAATGTTTGCGTTTGCGGTCTCTAATAACAATGTCTGGCCGATTAGCTTTGATTGTGTAGTCCCATCTGCCACTCGAATTAAATAGTATCATGAAGATCCCTGTAAAAGATCTCTATTACAAGCACTTGTGGAAAATTTAAAAAACAAAATATTTGCCACCATTTTTCAAGGCATCTTTCGCTGTGACAATACAAATTTGGATTTCGATGTCGCACTTCCCAGATACTTAAATTTGCATTTTCTTCTTCATTTCTGATATATTCAGTACATACTGTTCTCAGCATCCTTTTGCAGGCAGCCATTATATATTATATATATATATATATATATATATATATATATATATATATATATATATATATATATATATTTATTTATTTAAAAATATGATTCCAAATCGCGACATAAGAAGTTCCATGTTTCAAACTTAAATCAGACAATAAATCAGACTTAAATCAGACAATAAAAGGGAAAAATTATGTAACTGTAGAAACCTAGAAGACTGCCCATTAGAAAATAAATGCTGCATTAAATCTGTGGTATACCAATGTACTATATCATCCACTGAGAGCCCTAGCACTAATAAGATATACATTGGGTCCACGAAGAATGATTTTAAAGATATATGGAGGCAGCATAAGTGTTCTTTCAATAATATAAACAAAAGAAATCAGACTTCCCTATCTAAATATTTTTGGCATCTGAAGGAAACAAATAGGACACCTAAAGTTAAATGGAAAATTATTAACAAGGCTAGAACATGTAAAACTTGGGATGACCCATGCCCTTTATGCCTCCATGAGAAATTGCACATAATTAAGCTTCTAAATAATAATAATCTATTATTATTAATAGACACGAGTTAACGGTTTTTGTAGGCATCATCAGATTTTTGGTTTGAACTATTAGCTAAAAACTAGCATACAATATAATAACTTGTTTAATCCATAGCCCACACATCAGATTCATGGTTTGAATAATTAACTAAAAACATGCATACAATATAACACCCTTCATAATCCATAGCCGAAATAAATAGTTTAAATACCCTAAAAAAAGATAACCCTTTATGAAGTCGTCAAAAAACAAACGTTACGACAGTTTTTTTATATGCACAAATCCCTTTCATAAAAAAAATAAAATAAAAAAAATAAATAAATCTCCATAGATACGCAAACTAGACGAGGGTTGATACATCTTCCGTTTCAAATTGAGACACACCCACCTTTCCCTGACTTGACATCTATGAAAGTAACTCTATACTGATACTTATTATTAACACCCAACACCCGCCTACCCAACTTAAACAATTCTCCGTAGCTGTTACCATGGAAATTTTGATTTCAATTTTTAAAACACGTAAATTTCAGAAACACGTTATTCCAAAAAAAATTTCGCTTGAAGATGGAACAGAGCTTATTTTAACTTATTTTAACTCAATTTAATTTAAATAATTATATTGAAGTTTTCGGCTCTTATTTTGAAACGTGGGACTTTTTATGTCGCGATTTGGAATCATATTTTTAAATAAATAATTATATATATATATATATATATATATATATATATATATATCAAACAACTAAGAAGTTGCAAATTAAAAAAAATAATAATGTTTTTTTATGAAAGTATTTATTTATATTTGATATTTCAGATGGACCTCGATCTTTCTTCAGAAATAACTGTTTTTATAGGTTTGTTTACAAGTAGCGTCCGTCAAGTGATATGGAACGCCACTGTGTTCGAATATTTTTAATGTAAATCTAACTGTAATAATATTTTAGATGCTGTTTTACAAAAATAATTTTAACTATATCTAAAAGAAAAATGTTTAACTATTGAAATATTTATAAAGATTTAAAATACCCAAGTCTTTATTTAACCCTAGTTTATATGTATTTAATTTTAAAATGCAATATTTTTCTTTTTCTGAGTGTGTAAAACAGTTATTTCTGAAGAAAGATCGAGGTCACATATTCCGTGGTGGAACTCTACTGAGTTCTCTCTAACCATAGGACTGTGCCCCCTGGAGCCACGACTACTCTCACCAAGCCGCTCACTCTAGAGCATTAGAAGCCGGTTCAAGCAATGATGTACATGATAGAAATTATTAGGAGGATTTGATAATTATATTTAAGTAATTCATCGAGTCTGATAGAAATCTCAACAAAATGCAGAAAGCCACGAAACATGTGAGCGAGCGGCGCTTTGTTGAGTCTGATTTGCAATGTCTTCGTCACAGGCCCAGTGGAACAGTTGGTATGATGTTTGCTTTACAACCTAACTGTCGGGGTTTCAATTCTCAGTAGTGGATTCGCACTGCTGATGAGTCCCAAATATAGAACGAAACGGCCGTCCAGTGTTTTCGGCATTCTGTTGAGATTTCTATCAGACTCGATGAATTACTTAAATTTATATATATATTAAAGTGC